CGGGCCGGGCTGCACCAGTTCGAGGAGGTGGCCGTGCACAGCGCCGAGGCCGGAGCCCTGCGCCGCGGCGACAACTACGAGGCGGTGACTTGGCTCTCGGACAGCGAGGTGGTGCGGCAGCCCAGCCCCGGCTGGAGCGCCCGGCAGTTCCGAGTGCGGCCCGTCCAGCCCTCCCTCGTTCTGCAGGACGGTGAGCGCGGGGCTCGGAGGGCTGGAGGGAATGGGGGGAGGTCTGTCTCTGCCTGTGGGGAGGGAATGGGCTGGCGGGGCTCGACCTTGCGGCGTGGGACTTTGGGATTCGAGACAGCCTCTGGCCATGTGCAGAGTGGCGTTCCCAACACGTAGAGAACGTAGCCTTGCAGGTCAGAAGGTGCGCGTTGGGGGCAGGGTTAGGGCCACCTGTAACTGCTCCAGTGTGGCCGGTTTCTCTCTAAGCTGCTCCAGTTCCGTGTAAGGACCTGGAAAAGGTGGGTTGCTGGAGCCCTCAGCTTATTAAAATGTTTGATTCCACTGATGAAAGCAAGCCTATAAGGATTCAGGGAATATTTCTGTAATGACACTTGCATGCCAAATGCAAACATGTCATAAGTTGTAACTTGGTAGGATACTTCAGAAATACTGTAGTACAGTAGTTGTTATATGTGGTCAAGTTGCCTCCAACTTACAAAATGTTCTGTCTTCAATAGCCCTGGTCAGCTCTTGTAAACTCAAAGCTGTGCTTTCCTTTAGGGAATCAATCTGTCACATATTTGGTCTTCCTCTTTTCCCGCAGCCTTAAACTGTTTCCAGCATTATTGTCCTTTCCAGAGAATCTTGCCTTTTCATGCTGTGCCCAAAGTATGACAAGTACAGTATCTGTGTAAAATGTCTGAAGAAATGGACTCGTCCACAAAAGCTCACATTAAGATTTATCAGCGAGTCTTCAAGGTGCCACAACATTTTTGTGTTCCTTATTTTTGCTTACTTTTTGCCTGACAGTCTTAAGCATGTCACTGATATTTGGTTTGAGTAGAATATGAAGAAGGTAGTATTGCTCATGTCAGCATAATTGTTTCATTACATTTTTTGTGATGCACAGTGAATGCAGTTTATGGCTACTGGTGTTCTTTGGACTACATAATCCACAATCCAGTTATCCATATTTGATTCTTGCAGGTGGGGAGGTTGGTTTGTCATTCCAATATAAAAAGGGGGATCTTAAGAAAAGGTGATTTTAAATGCCTTATTGTTTATTCATAGGGCGAAAGCAGAATTAGCAAGATTATATAACTTCAGTACTTCTGTATATGTAAAGGGTGGGGCAGTTTCTCAAGATCTGAGAATGTAGCTTTCTGCAAAACATGGAAGTGAATAGCTTTCCCAGTGAGACTAAGAATCTTTAGGAAATATTCCATGAGGTAATGTGTGCTGAAGGAAATGCCAGTGGGAGAATGGGGAAGAAATGAGGAGGGCATGAAGGGTATCCTATCCTGCAGACTCTGTGTGTTCTATATCCAAACAGAATGTGGAGAAAGATAGTTTCAAGGAGAAAGGGCATGCCAGCTTCCATGTGCACCATGAGAAAGTACAGATGAGGGTGTGTCTGTCAGCCTTTGCACAATGGGGTATTGGAGGGGAACACATAGGCTGGTGTGTGTGGTAGATGAACTTAGTTCATTGTGCATTTATATTGCATCCCATGGCTACTTGGGGGGGGGGGAGAGAAAAACTGTCATGTACAGAAAAAGACCAACTCGATTTTGCCATATGTTACTGTTCCTATAGAAAATGTATTTTGGAAAATGAACCTTCAGTCAATAACTCATGGAAACCTTGCTGCCAAATACAGTGATCATAGCTATATATCCAGGATATATACCCGGTGTGATGTAGTGAACAGAGTGATGAACCAGGACTCTGGAGACTAGGGTTTGACTCCCCAGTTGGCTGTGGAAACTCACCGAGGGTGTGGAACTGGGAAAACCACTCCTTAAATATCTCACTTACCTTGAAAGCTTTCTTAAGAGTTCCTATAAGTCAGTTCTGCCTGGATGGCACATAACTAGCTAATAGTTTTCTACTTCTTTGTAGATTTTGAGTGATGGATTGTACAGTATTAGTATCTGTTCAGAACACTTCTCAGGGCAAGAAGCTGGCTACAACGGCTGGGCTGTATACAGTACCTGTTACTCTTTGATAACATGGGTCAGTTTTTGTGCCACTCATTGCACCACTTTTCCTAGACCAGGTCTCCTGCACTATCAGAGACTCCACCCTTTCCCTCTTGATATCTTCAAGACAAGAATACCTGTGTAGTGCTAATTTTCACAACTTTTTTTTGATAATAATGGAAATCACATGCTGTCAAGTCGATTCAAGTGCCTCTGGTTTTCTAGGTACAGTACAGTATAGTGTTCAGAAGTGATTTACCAGTTCTTCTGAGATCACTCTCGGACAACACAGTTTGCTCAAGGCTACACAGGCTGGTTGTTCCCCCAGGAGGCACAGTGGGAAATTGAACTCATGACTCAGCCAGGTGCTACATCTCAGTGAGCTATGTAGCCACCTAATCATTTTGATACCCCTCCTGTTTGCCATTTTTCTGCTAAAAATGGTGCATAAAACAGCTGCTTGCAGTAATAAAATATAGAAATGGAATATAGCTAAAAACTTGCAGACAACTCAGGAAAAATATATTTTAAAAAACTACAAAAATGTTATTTTATTTGATTGCTGGAATTCTATTGAGATTTTACTCCAGAGTAAGTGAAATTGGGTTAAGTCACAATGGCAAATTGCAGCTAATTTACAAGCTGCTGGTCATATGCCAGTCATGCAGCAAGCACCAATTTTATTAGCTAGATTCATTTCTGCATCTTATGCAGTTTAACTTACTCCAGAGTAAAATAGCAATAAAATTCTGGCCATTCATTTATTGATTATATGAGCTGTTTTTCTATCCTCTCTACTTTGTGGATGGAGACTTTGCCTATCTATCAATGACAAGCAGTGCCATTTTCATGTTACCTGTTTTTGGAGAATTCTTGGCATGAGATGCCAAGAAAATACACTCGCCCCCAGGTTTAGCTAACTGAAACTGGACTCTTAAGTGTTCTTTTCTTCTGTGAGGAGGTGGCATTCCCAGATGTGATGAGTCTGCCAGGAATGGCATCAGCTGCCACTTCACTTCTTTGCTTACAGGAAGAACACAGCAGGAGTCCAGCAAGAGTATTTGATTAAGTGGGAGCTATGATATCATATCCCCATGTATTCGTATTTCCAGATGGAGTGTACCATTTCTGTGATGGCACAGCTCTGGGAAACATTTTTCCCAGAATTAGGGTCATTGGACTAGTGTATTTTCTGGAAGGACATGTTCATTTACTTAAAACCTACGTGCACAACCTTCAGCGTGCCAACTTCGCAGTAATTGGCATTAGAATTCATGGGGTTTACTTCTAAGTGAACATTCTTATTGCTTCTAGCTTGCCTTTTCTCTTAAACATGCAGGAATACCATGGCTGAATTCCTGTTGCGTAGCAAGCTGCACTAAAGCAGGTCCATTGAATCAATGAATATTTGGTAAGGCAACTCCTCTGTAAAAGTCATTGTTTCAATGGGTCCCCATTGAATGCTAAACAACAGGATTTCAGCCCTTAAGTTTCTGAAGCGGGAAACTAGTAATTAGACCACATGCTCTTTCCTCAGTCTCTTTATTGAGCATGGGTTTCAGCCCCAGGTTCCTTTGTTTTAAACTAGAGTCCCCAGAGTCAATAATGAAGTCTGGCTTAATGTCAACTACTGTCCTTCCTTGAAAATAAGACAGGGTCTTATATTAATTTTTGCTCCAAAAACGCATTTGGGCTTATTTTCAGGGGATGTTTGGTTGTTTTCATGTACAACCATCTACATTTATTCAAATACATCATGTCATCTTCTTCTGGTTGCTGCACAATGGTGGAGGGCAGGGTTTCACTTAACTGGGGCTTATTTTTGGGGTGGGGATTATATTACGAGCATCCTGAAAAATCATACTATTTTCAGGTTAGGTCTTATTTTAGGGGAAACAGGGTAACTAGTAAACAAGATGAGAGTTGGGCTTATTACTAACATTAGTTCAGATTAGAAGTGGGCTTAATAGACAAACCAGAGTACTTAATAGGCAAACCCATTTTTGGATGCACAGTAGGAATTCTGGTTGAAATTAATTTGGATCTCTGGGCTGAAGCTGATTCACAAAGAAAAGAGGAGGAAGAAGAGGTTGCGGAATAACATGCAGCCTGGACATTTATTTCAGTTTTCATAAAGAGTGGTTATCGAAGCCAGGGAAACATGTCTGAATTTAGAAACCTGCTTTTGTTGTTATGTCACTATATGTAAGCTTAAGTAGTGTAGCTCTTTTGAAAACAAACAAAGTCATGTTGGTCCATGAGAACAAAACACAACCCAACTCTATGGGCAAGTAGATATGGGTTGTAAAATACTGTATACCTTTTAAACATGGGCAAACTTGGTAGTAACTACAGCCTCCTGAAAAGAAGTGTGGATCATTGTTTTCACTTTCTAGTTAAAATGTCTATTTAAATGGTTAAGGACAAATAGGATGAAAAATGTTCTGAAATTAAGTCTGAGCAGCTTGTAGTTTTAGTTCATTGAATGACAAAACTTTTATTTTTACAATGAATGCTGAGTTACTGTGAGGATTCTTGTCAGCAGTTTCCTTGATTACTTAGATCTGAAAAAGTAAGTGGATCTGAAGGCTAATTGAATTTCTGAAAAGTGCCACACCAGTCTGCTTTATGCTTTTTATGTTTTAATTCTTGCCATTCATCCCTTATCAGTTAATCATACTATTTTCAGGTTAAGAGAAGGCTAGCCTTGTGAGAAGAGAAGGATAGAAATACAAGAGATTGGCTGTCAAGAAGCCTCTTAAAAATCTAGCCAGTGGTATCAACCAAAGATGTGTTAGTGCGAAGAGAAGCATTCCTAAATGGTCTGCATAACTGGATGTTCCTAAGTACTGTACAATGCAACAGTCTCATCTAAAATATTAATTTGTTTGAATTATTGATACTTACAGCTGTGGAAGAGAAAACAAACAGTCTCATCTAAAATATTAATTTGTTTAAATTATTGATACTCATAGCTGTGGAAGAGAAAACAGTACGGTGGTGACTTGCAAGACAAATTTAATTTGTTCGGCAGTCAATG